TAATATTAATTATTAATATTAAATATTAATTATTATTGATGTTTATTTTATAATATTTATCATGATAATATACATTTTATAATATTGTTATTTTAAATACATGATACATATTAGTTCATATAAACAATTTATATAAATCTAATTAATGCAAATTAAATAATACAATATTTTTATTTTAGGTCTGATTTCTAATTAAGTGAAAGTATTATTATTATTATTATTATTATTATTATATTAAAGTATAATTCTGGAAAGTATTACGATTTCCACAAAAATATGAAGCAGCATAACTGTTGTCAACATTGATAATAATCAGAAATGTTTCTTGAGCAGCAAATCAGCATATTAGAATGATTTCTGGATCATGTGACACTGAAGACTGCAGTAATGATGCTGAAAATTCAGCTTTGATCACAGAAATAAATTATATTTTAATATATATTCACATAGAAAACAGCTATTTTAAATTATAATAATATTATACATTATTACTGTTTTTGGAATGGTACTGTACTCAAAACAAATGTTCACCTACAAATGTAAATTCTGAGGACAGAAAAAGTTCGGATTAACTGACCGGTGTTATGCATCTTCAAATGAATGCAAATGAGATCTGAAAGCAATACTTTCAGTGGATAATGATTTCAATTTCAACCTGTTCTTCAAACAAGTTCCCATATGGCTTGATATACATAGCAGGTCAAATTAATAATGTGATTATTAAATCAAATTAAACATGTGTCATTAAATATGCCAATCCCATTTCTAGTGCAAATATAAAACGATTCTATGAATGCTTTAAAAAAATGTTTTGACCAGGACATGGAAAGTGAAAATAATAACTGCAAAATCATGCAAAACTTCAACAGTGCTTTCTTTCACACGGACAAAACCGTTTTTCATGCACGGCACCCAATCGGCTCATTTCTGCTTTTATGGCGGCATATGAATCTAAACTGGGCATTCTCTGATTATGAGCTCAGGATGAATGAGTCAGAGTTTGGGAGAGAGAAATGCATGATGCCGGAGAGAAAGAAAGAAAGAAACAGTCGCCTGAGAAAGTGCCATTAGGAGAGCGCGGCAAATTTACAAGACCTAATAGCATTTATAAACACGCCACTCAAAGAGTGCAAGCCTCGAGTTTAATCGCACAACGGCACGTTATCGGGCTATTCGCAAGCGTGAAGCCTTCAAATAACAATTACACGCTCCGACGTCTCTTCTCCACATCCTGCTTCAGATCAGTCCAGGCTTTTATCCAAACTCCTGCACCTTTCCTGCATGATGACAACTAAGAGACAGTGAATTATGTCACCGAACGGCTCTCGAATGGCTTCCTCTGCTCGTTCCCAGCACTGTATTTCATCAGCTCTCTCTGCCTCTTCCAGTGTAAAGTTGTGGAGTGATGTCAGCCAAACGCTCTCGTAGCACATATGAAGCTTGTGGCGGCTGCATCTGGGAGCCATTAGAGAGAAATACAGGCCTCTTCGTCATGTTTACCTCACGTCACTAAACAAGAAGTCTGGTTCTACACACAAACACACACACACATAGATGCGGTGCCTCATAATGTGTAAAAATACACAGGTTTAGACCATCTTGAGCTGAAGCAAACATCTTAAACTAATCCAGGTTAGTTGGTCGCCAGGTTTTGGGCACTTGACCAGCTTGAGAGAGATTAGTATAAGCCTGTCATGAAATAATGGTCAGAAAAAAACTTTTTTTAATTTTTTTATTTAGAAAGCATTACTGACAAAATATTTTTTAAATCCTATTTTTAAAAAAAGTTGTTAAAAAATAGTTTTTTGTTGATCATCATAATTTTATGGCTCATATAGCCTGACGTCCTGGGGCTATTGTATCTTCCAGCCAGGCTACCTGCTTGAATAACTGATTCACGTTGTTCACTCGCTTTATAGGGGTGAAACAGATCGTACTTGATCATTTGCACGTGCTGCCAATATAAACATGCGTTTTAAACCATTGAAGCGCATGAAGAGGTGAAAGAGAACTCAATTTGGTGCTCGAACAGAATCGATTCCTCTTTTGCGTCTCCTTGAGCTTGAACGGACACAAACACACAAAATCTCGGCAAGTGTTCTCGTAAACACAGTCGGTTGCGTCTTGAAGTGAACCTAAACAGTGGGGAAAGAAATCGGACGCGTATCAATATACTAGATACGTGCATCTGGTCTTAAAGGGACAGAAGCCTATAAAAACCTGCTGCTGTCTGTGTCAATGTTAATCAAACAAAACACAACTTTTACAAATATTGCAGTGTTATTTTACACTTAATTATTACATTTTTTGTACCTGACTAATGTTACTAATCTTACACCTTATTTTATTTTTAAATTCGTTCTAATTTATCTATGAAATTTGTTTATTTGTTCTATTATTATTACTTATTACATAATAATATCCAGAAATACATCCAAGATAATCATCCTACACACAATGGAGCTCTTCTTCAGCGCTAATGGCCTGTAATATAACAAATGGTTATGTTGCTACTGTATTAATCCAATGAGTGTTTTTTCCTCTATTTTCTGCAGGTACGTCCAAAAGATGTCATTTCAGCCATAATGTCAGCGGATATGAAAACGCCTAGAATTGGGAGTTTTGAGGGAATGCTGTTTGTCCTGGCGGCCTGTTTTTGCCCTCGCAGCACAGTCGAAGCGTGTCATACCTCATGGAAACCTCTAGATCTGTCCTGCCAGTGTCAATAACACCTCCGAAGGCTTTCCTGAATGCTGTGTCTCACAGACAACTGTGCTTTGTTAGATAGAGAGGATGTCATCTACATCCCATCCAAACCAAACCAACACACAGAGAAAGAGGAGCCTCACATACCGCCCTCCTAAATAACCAAACTGCACCATCATCCATGGAGAGCAGCAACTGTATTTCACTTGTATGGCCAGAAGAGGAGTCAGACTCAACGTGTCAGAGCAGAGGTCATTTACAGCGTCCGTTACGTAATTATGGCAAGTGCTAACGTCTTTTCAGCGTTAAGCAGCAGAAACGCTTAAGGTCTTTTCACATGACTCGCGTCAGGAAATAAACTGTTTTCGTTAATTGAAGTAACGCTGAAATAAAATTAAAAATAAACATTAGATAAACGTAGACAAAAATTACAAATGGTGCCTTGGCAACTAACTGAAATAAAATAAATTAAAGCTAAATGTAATAATTTAATATATAAAAGTTAAAAAAAGATGATAAAAGCATGTGACTACATGTCTAAAACCTAAACTAAGATTAAAATGAAAAACTGAAAATATAAAAATAGTAGCTACTTTAAATGATTAATAAATACTAATAAAATAATAAATACTGCTAAAGCACCTCTCAGTTGCCAACATGACGCTAATACCACTAATAAGGAATAAATAAGGAAAAACATTATTATATATAAATAATAAAATATATAAATAATATAAAATACATAATAAATAAATAATTTAAAATATTTATTCATTTTAAGTACATAAAATATATAATAATTTAATGTATAATGTAAAATATGAAAATATGAAATTTAAAAAAATGAAAATATAAACATTAACACATAAACATATAAACAAAACCTTATTCAAAATAGTAATAAATACTACAACAGTGTATAATTAATGCTAAAATAACACTGCTAAAAACACCTTTTAAAACAAGCAGCAACAACGGCTATAACTTTCGCATGAAAAGTGCAATTTTACTATTTATTAATTTGCACAGAATATTTAAGTGTGTATAATATGGGGCTTAGAAACCATTATTACCACTGTTATCAGAAATTTCATTCTCACTTTTTGGGATTTTTTTTGTGTGTGGCTTGAACACTGTGTAAAGAAAACAATTACAGTAAAAACAACGACGCCTTTGGCAACCGTTTGAACACAAAATACATCAAAATAAAATGTTTCACATCACATACAGTCACTTCCATAAACGCTTGTGTGATTTTTCTACATCCTAGTGAAATCAATGAATTTGCAGAACATCCGCTTGATGCATCAAGTCGCAGAATTTAATGCTTTGGGAAACATGTGAAAAAGCCTCTGGTGACATTTAAACATTTCCGCAAGAAAAACCCAAAAAACAAGAAGAAAAAAAAAAAACAAGCAGCATACGAGAGTACAAGAATATAATTGTAGAATTACAACAGAATGAAAGCTGCATACCGTAAACCCCTTCAGACGATTTTGCTCCTCTTTAACCTCCTTTCCCATAATTCTGTGTGGGTCTGTTCCCACGCTGCTCCGGGTTTCAGGGTCACTGCTGTCCCTGGTTAACGAGGAGGTGGAGGGGAGTTGAGCTGCCTTTTCGTTCCTACAAACACAAACACTCAGCCATCAAATCAAGCTGCCAGCAGCACCGGAGGCCGAAGCCAAGAACACAGAAGCTTCAGCACTGGGTCTAATTATGTCCACGCTGCATTCACATTCGCTGTCACTCTATGGAGATGTATTACAGTGACTGAGAGCGACCCATGACAGCGGATTACACATCTGGTGTTAGTAACTTCCAATATTAAGCAATGTTTTCAAAACAAAGCCACTAAGACACTCTACATCATGTCTTAAAATAAATATGCACATGGGAATAAATATTATATTATATTATATTATATTATATACACACTAGTTTTTACACATTTACATTTCCTTAAGAAATGACGTAAAGTTTAAAGAAATGATAAGAAAACACCTTTAATAAGGAATAAAGCATTATTATATATTACAATATAATAACAATAAAATCTATATTTATAAATAAAAATATTTTATATTAACATTATAAAAATAAATGAATAAAAATTTAATACATTTTATAATTAATAAAATTGTAATTAATTATATATAAATCATAATAATATATTAATATTATATTACACACACTACACACACTAGTAATAAAATATATAATTATTAAATAATTTGTATGAATAAAAATGCATTCATTTAAATTTTATTGCATTATATTATATTATACACAGACTAGTTTACACTATTAATAAAATATATAATATAAATAAATAAATATATTGTTATATGAATATTTTTTTAATTATATATTTATAATTATATAACATACATAAAATACATAATAAATAAATAGACTTTTATGATTTTTTGTTAACATATTTTTATGATTATATAATTATATAAATTATATATTTAATTTCTATTCTATTCTGATTTATTATATTACATACATACTAGTTTACATTGACACTGATTTAAGAAAATGTGAATGGTGTTTGGTTTTGCAAAGTTTGCCACCATGATGCTAATGCCACTAACAAATAATGCAGAATAAGGAAAAGCATTATTATATATTAAACATATTAATAAACAATAAATAAATATGTAATGCACATAACATGCAATCTAAATAATCAAATCCAGACTCAGGCTTATGTTTTCACGTTTCGGAACACATGCAATGAGACTTCAAAAAAAAAATCACTCTTAGGGAACATAAAACCTGCATTTTGTCCTGTGAGTTTACAACAACATGACAAGTTCATCCCTTTTCTAAAAGTAACAGTAACAACTGATCTAACAATGATTAATGGTGCTGCTGACTAGAGCGAGTGGATGTGAACAACGACACCATACAGTATCCGGCCTGACTTTATCCCGTTCATAAATTCAGTCATACATAATCCATAAATGCACTGCTGTGAAAGAAAACCAGAACCAGCGTTTGACAGATGAACTTTAACTGCTCCAAATTCAAGACATACACAATATACAATACACAATCACTGGTATAACACTCGGGACGGTCAAGAATGGCTTTAAACATCCACATATTAACAGAATCTGCTTTTTTATTATGATTTCCATACAGAGTAATTTCCCTCAGAAACGTCCAGCTCGGCTGTGAACTTTTACTACGTTCACCGAACAGAACGAGCTGCTTGTGTATTATTTTACCATTAGTAACAATTGCCATAAATACATCTGTGTTGCACAAATAAACGTATACATTTAATATAAGGAATAAATTCCTGTAATTACAGGGATAAACATACTTCATCCTCAACTGAAGGCACAAGGAGGAGACGCCAGTCTTTCCGCAGTAAGCACACTAGTTATATTATGACTAACTGGGCTCAAGAGCAGGAATCGCAGACTTTTAAACCTCAAACGATGATGAAATCAATACGGACGCCTTAATAAAATACAAAACAAGCTCAAACTTGGATTTGGAGGCCAAACTGCAACAAACAAACAAACAAATGAGAGTTTAAGAGTAGTTTCCAACAAAATTTGATACCAGATGTTTTGTTTTGGTGTTTAGTGTTTTAAAACGTTATGCTAATCAGGAGGAAAAATTGGTAATTGGTGTGTATAATATATGAATATTTATATATGTATTTAATAATTACTTATAATACTGTATATATATATATATATATATATAACATTTATAGCAATTATAATTATTTAATAGTTAAATTAGTTATTTGCATTATTATTATTTATTTAAAATATGTATTTATTAAATTTTTCATATAATTATTATTAGCTTTTATATTTATTTTACATTATATTATTTATATTATTTTTATGTGTATTCCACTATTTATA